CCAGGAGATGCGACGAGTGAACGGAAAACAAACAGGGTGGTTACCTCGGCTCCGTAAAGCCCTGTCAGAGCGGGGGACGGGAGCGGTTCGGAAGGTCAGTCCAAATATTCAGGCTCTCAGTTAGGCTCCACCAACCACTTAACCACTTGACCGTCTGGCGGCATTTACGTGGTACAAGGGGGACTGCTGCAAAGGGACCCTCAAATTGGGGAAGGTGAGGCACTGCGAGGAAAACAACGGGTAAATGCTGACAGCGGAGAGCCGAACATTGGGCACTATTTCCGCTATGACAGTTGCTTTTCCAGCGGTGTGGAGTCAAGCAAGAACAAGGCCATATATATTGGCAGTACTGGCGGAAATTGAAGATGTGCGACCGAATCGAACAATCGCCGCCGGGGAGTGTACTTAAAAACCTGAAACAGACCGGCATGAGAGTAGAAGGGCAGTCATATGTATTGGTGACCTCACCAGTGATGGTTATGGGCACTTGGTGGTGGCGGCAGTAAGATTTCTGTTACTTGAACAAGTTGAACACGATCATGTCATTCCAGACTAAGCAGCCGGAGGCTTGTTAAGCTCCCAGCATCACGGCGGACGATCAGCTAGTACCTAATGTCCGATCAAACGACAGTTCAATTATGTTTCGCGTGCTTTTCAGGTTCATGACAGCGTCGCCGTCCTTAAGACTCCGAGTCTCATTGAGAGGAAGAAGGAGCGTGAAGATTCAAGTCGGGGATCGACCATGACTCGAGAAAAGTTCATACCTGGCTGCCTCGGGGAACAGTCGACTCGTCGATGATCTGGAGTAAAAGAAATCACTCACCACAGAAGAAGCCGCAGAGATCGAGATAACCAAGAACAAGGGACAAACACAAGGCCTTAGGTAGTCGTGCAACAGTAAATAAGGACGCCGAACTGAATTGTTGCAACTCGTTCCAAGCGGAATCTCACATGCCTGCCGCCACCGGGCAGGACCCGTTATCGGCTTAGTGGATGCACAGTGGCGTGATGGTTACACGCGTTCTGTGGGCACGAAGGATTTTTTACTACGGAGTTTTCGTTGTGCAAGTCCGTACTTACATAACTGTGCCTTATACATAGACGTTCTTTTTCCTTACCGCTCCGTAGCATGATGCAAGGCAGTGGGAGGAGTGGAACCGTCAAAGCTTAGAACTCAACCTGGCTGGATAGATCAATACAATGGCGGTATTCGTTACACCGTAGCATCATTCACAGCAAAGGTGGTCAAGTGTCGGCCGTCCAATAGCCATCTGATTCATTTGGATTTAGTTGACACTGACACTCCTTTGTAACATGGTGCTGTTGCGACACTCCCTATATCATGCATTGTATTTCATTCCCGACCTCATTTCTACCGTAAAGTATGAATTTCGCACTCCCATGAGCGTAGCCCCTCAGTGGTCAATACACGATATTACAACATTCATTCTGCCGCCTGCGAGTCGGCCGGCCGAAGCTCTTATGCCTGGATAGTGACTGTTTGCTCTCCTCACATTAACTTAAGAATATATAAAAGTAAGAACGACGGGAAGGGACTAACACGCGATGAAATTAAGACGCGTCGGTAATCCAAATCTGGTATTCAGATGTATCACGTGACCGTGATTTCTCCAAATCCCCGAAGTTATTTAATATTTTTAAGATTTCAAGTCTTAGTCACCTGAGATGGCTTTAGTTGCGGCGAAGTGCGAGGCGCGCCGAAGGTGGCGGCTCAGAATTCAATTGGCTGAAATTGGACCTCTTGCAGCGTCTGCGCCAGCAGCGAATCCCGTCGTTTTCGGTGTAGATTGTACTACTAGATTCAACGGTTTTTGTTCTCCTGGCGGAGCGCGAAAACCTTACTCCACAATTCCAGGATTGCCGAAATGGCGACATGCATGGTTCAGCCCAAATTTCTTTTACAAAAATCGTCAGACCGCTATCAGTTGCTCGCAGCAGCCAGGCATTTTCAACTTGTCTCTTGTGTCTACACATCGTCGGCGAAACTCACAGCTTTACTTGTAGTTCACAGCACGTGCCCAGTTCCTGCCCGCAAAGATCTTTTATAATTTCAACGTTCTTTCACAGCTGCGGTTGAAAATTCATGTTGAATCAGGCTGAACATTCTGGACGGCTGACTACAGACGGCAATATGAAACCATATAGCTAGAGGCTACATCAAGGCTACACAAGGAGGGACCGAGGAACTGCTAAATACGAAAATATGCGCATGCTCCAATCAATGTACTACACTACTTATGTCGCCACTCTCGCCACGGCCCGCAGCGCGATCTCCAAATCACGTACGCGTTTTCGCTGGCGGCATCCGCAGCGAATCCACAGCCCCAGCACAACGAATAGGATAAGCAAGCAAACTCCGGTAGCAATCGCGAATATCAGTGTGAAGGGCACTGGTTGGCTAAGAGAAGTGGCACAGGCGTCAGAGCGGACACAATTCATGGCCAGTCGAAATATTCACCCGCCTGTGCCTGATTCTTGGGGCTGCTGAGCGCCACTACTCGTTGGAGCACTGTTGTCCTCTGTGCTGAAACTGACGTTGGCATCTGTGGAAGAGCTAACACTTGTAGATGAACTAGGGGGTTCCACGAAACCCGAAGCGGCGGCCAGGTCAAAGATGGTGGGCTAAATTTCTTCTCAGCGACGATATTAGAGCCGGGGAGATACACAGACCGTGGGGGTCGCAGAAATCATGGCCAGAGCCCAGGATGGAACCACATTAGATTCCGCTACCATAATCAGGTCAGCGGAAAACTACTTTATCATTGATAGTAACTCACTTGGGGGCGGATCGGACTGGGACGGAAACCTGGTGATCGAGTGAGTGTAGTGTCGAAGCCGTAAAATAGATGGACCAACTGCTGGGGTAGAGTGCCACATCCCTTCTCGGTGTTGTAATCGTCCCAGCTGCAAAGGTACTTATATGAGTGATTGAAGGAAAGATGAGCAAGCCTAGAACTACCTCATATTGTTGGGAGGGGAAAGACACGCTTTACATGCAGCAGATACGAGATACGAAACACCAGAGCAAATACACTGCGCCGAACCTTTGGGCAGAATCAGAATAGGATTCATCACTTGAGAATAGGCGCACCCTGATCATGACAGGCACTATCAGGATCCCAGGTGCATGGGCCGAAGCCTTGCTCGTTGTTGAGCTCGTTGCGCAGGATGAGCTGATGAATTGACGAAGTAACAAAGGATTACTCACCAGTGAGCAATCAACATCCCGGGAGACGCCTGCGTCTCGCTGGGTTGAGTTTAGCCGAGTTGCATCGGGACCTTGGGCCAGCGGATAGTGGAGCGACGGCATACGCGGGAGAATCAAGACGACGACGTAGGGACAGCCTCAAGGCAGGAACTCGATTCCTGATATGTCGAAAAGGTCTTCTAGGGGCGACAGTATTGCCCAAGGGGTAGTTGTAAAGGGAACGAATCTAGCGGGGAAGTTGCGGTGAGTGAGAGAGAAACCAAGCCTTTTAGCTGTTTGGACGCCCTGAAGCAGCGGACGGACCCAGACGGCGGGATTCGATGTCGGGACTCTGGCACAAAAGGATTGCTGTAAAGAGAACAAGTCCTACGGGAAGATGCGGCGAGTGAGCTGAAAACAGACGGGGTGAGCGCCTCAGCTCTCTAAATGCCCTGTAACAGCGCATCCCGGGCCCGGTTCGAACTTCTCCGCGAGTTATCAATAAGCGTGGGGCGTCCAGTCCGGAATATTGAGACGCTCAGTTAGACGCCACGCAGCACTTGACCACTTGGCGGTATTTATGTTGTATGTTGCACAAGGGGACTGCTGCAAAGGGACGGTTTCAACGGAGAAGATGCGGCGAATGAGAGCAAAACAGACAGTAAGTGCTACCAGCGGAGAAGCCGAAGGTGCCAACTTCCGCCTCATTGGACGGTATTTGTATTGTGACAGTCGAGGGCGGTATGGTCAAGCAAGGGCCGAGTCGCTAACATCCACCGCCGGGTGGTCTTTTAATCAGATCAGAAAAAAGACCATCCGCATAACAGGGAGTAGTACAGTATGCAACGAACTCATCGGCGATGGTCTGGTCGCTTGGTGGTCGCGTCACTAAGATTTCCGTTCCTTGATTATGATCATGCTGTTCCAGGAGTAAGCAGTCCGAGGTGTGAGGTTGGTAAGTTCTCAGGATCACGGCGGATGATCAGCTGTAATTTCCGATCGTTCAATTATGCTTCGCGTGCTATTCAGGCTTACGACAGCACCGTGCTTGGGAAGAAGGAGGAACACACGAGATCACCCTCAGAACTCAAGTCGGGGATCGGACTACGACTTAAGAATATTCTTCGGTAGAATCCAAGTAGAATCGGAAATTCAATGATCCTCTGTCTCGTCGATGCACTGATTGGAACGTCACGTGACCGTGTCATTCCCGCGAGCATAATAATAATCCAACTTTAAGTTTTAGCAATTATTTAGATGTCCGAGTCCCCGCATGGGAAGTCGCTTTGCTTCCCACTCCGGAAATATTAATATCAATGCTACGAGGGCCTTATTAGGCAGTCTCCTACCCAGCCGCGGTGTCGAGGTTCATCAATCCTAGTAGGTGGTACTCAGTCTGATTCAGAAATAAAATCAGTGGCGGGAATTTCGGACCGTGTGATGTGACTTAATTTGTGACAACGATGGGGATGAACCTCTCCACGGAGGTTCACCCCCAATTCAGTCACAGTTTTGTCACAAGGTATTTTCCCGTTTTATTTTATTTTATTCCCGTACTCTAGGATACAGCATTGAATACTCCCATTAGGATTGTGAACCTCGAAACCGCGGTTGGGTAGGAGACTGCTTATTAGGGTTCTCTGGCTCTGATCCGGAACGATGCTTGTGGTTCTATTTTGCCCCGTAGTAAATTTGACGTCCAGTTCTGCGCCTCGTTTGTTTCGTGAGAGCTCGCCGTTTAAGCTCCGCTTCTGCTCCAATTGTATACCTCCACCTTATCGTATGCTGCATGGGCTCAGTGGTGTAATGGTTGCACTTCTCTATCTTGTGCTCAAGGATCATGAAGCACGGGGAAAGTCCCGGTTCAAATCCGGGCTGAGCCGTGCCCAAACATGGACATTTCTTTTCAGCCCGCAAGGAAGTTGCTGTCGGGAGTTTTTGATTCGAAGCCAATTTCGCTGGAGGAGCGTAAGGGAATCGGTCGTCGTTGCATAACCTTGCTCCATATTTTTTTCCGCCAATTTTAGAGCGATATAGGAAGAGCACCAGTGAATAATCCGCGATTCGGGCCAAGTAGATCCTCAGTCCTGAGTCTGAACCGACTGCGGTCTATGCTTGTCATTGTTTGGTCCAATGCTGAGACGCGATGCGGCACGTGACCGTATCCTGACCATCCCCGCATTTTCACCGCCTGGCTCGAGCTTCCACAATTCAGATCGCCGGGGCGTACACCGCTTCTCCTTGCGCACTACATGAAAGATTGCGAAGGATCCAAACCTGTCGTGTCCGTTGCGGCTCGAAATCAGCTCAGGCCGTCTCTGCAGGTTGTCTGGAGGCTCCGAGTCCTGTAGACATTATGGACGTCTTTTCACCGTCAGGCATGCCACCTGTGAGTTACCGCACTCCATTGTGCGCTTCTAGGTTGATTGAGTAGGATCTCAAGTTTTTCAGTGGCCCTTGACCGACCGAATGGCCAAGTTTTGCACGATCTCCGGAGTAAAACCCACAGAGCTTGCCCACTGAGCAAGTGGAGATGGCGCAAACGACCTTCTGGTGCATTCAGGACGCTTCAGAGGTACGTGAATCATTGGTCCTGACGTTTCGGACTACTCATCAGCGGCCGAGCCAGAGAGACTACGAAAGACTCGTTCGGTCTCGTACGCCGCCGTGCGTATACTGGCTAGGTGCAGTTGTCCATGCTGCTGGGGTGAGTACTGGAATCTTCGAGACACTTTTGAATCGCACATCCCCGGAGGCGGAATTATCGTTACTGCGTTGCAGGAGCCAATGAAGAACAGGCGGCAAATCCTCCAAGAGGACAGTATCGGTGGATGCGCGCGCCGTGGGTGTGCTCATCGGCCATAAACCCCGCACAGTATTCTGTATCGGCGAAGGTCCAGACTCAGAGGTACGCAAATACATGTCCTACGTGCTTTTCTTCTGCGATATCCGGACTCATGGAGACGTTGTTAGTGTATGACGGCGACGCTTAGATTCGAAACCTACTTGCGAGCGCACTAGTAGAATCCAAATCTTCATTTGATGCCGTCGAGGATGATGAAGACGATCCGCTATAGACCATCTGGATTCTGGCCAGGAGGCCTTAACCAGCAGCGGCAGACGCTGTGAAGGGGAGCAAAGGCGCTCAAAGGCGCGTCAAAACATGCCAGCACCAACGCGTCGATTTAGGGGCGATCGGACTTGACTTTCGTTGATCGACGACTTGTTTCTCCGTACCAGTACTACCACCATCTCGCCCGGCGCGCGCCCCAATCCCTTGCAATGCCACCCTCCCTCCTCGCCCTTCTCGCCTCGCTCATTCTTGTCTCCCCCGCCCTCGCCGCGTCCGCCGCAGACTGGTCCACCCGCTCGATCTACCAGGTTCGTCGCGTCGTCCCGCCTTTACGCGTTTCCCGCTAACTGAGAACTCGCCCAACGCAGCTCGTGACGGACCGCTTCGCGAAGCTCGCCGACTCGTCCTCGCCGTGCGACTCGACGCTGCGCACGTACTGTGGCGGGTCCTGGGCGGGCATCGCGAGCCACCTCGATTACATTCAGGCCATGGGCTTCGACGCCGTGTGGATCTCGCCCATCGTCGCGAACGTCGACAAGACCGCATACGGCGACGGGTATCACGGGTGAGTCTTCCCTCTCTTTCCCCCTCCCCACTTCATCAGCGTGCACACGGCGGGATGCTCACGAATAAATGACTCGCCAGGTACTGGACGCGCGACATGGACACCCTGAACCCGCACTTTGGCACCGCGGCGGACCTGAAGGCGCTGAGCGACGCCGCGCACGTCCGCGGAATGTTCCTTATGCTCGACGTCGTCGTAAACCACTACGCGGGCCTCCCCACCAACACCACCCCCTCCTCTCCCTCCTCCACGTCCTCCGCCTCTTCCGCCTCCGCTGCCACCTCCACCGCCTCCCCCTCGCCCGCCGGCCAATTCACCTTCGACTACACCGCGCAGCCGCCCTTCACCGCCGCGGCCGACTACCACGCGCAGTGCTTCATCACGGACTACGCGAACCAGACGGACGTGGAGCAGTGCTGGCTCGGCGACACCCATCTGCCGCTCCCGGACCTCGACACGGAGGACGCGGGCGTGAGCGCGACGCTGAATGCGTGGATCCGCGACACGGTGACGGCGTATGGGGTGGACGGCGTGCGCATCGATACGGTGAAGCATATCCGGCACGACTTTTGGGCGGGGTATACGGCGAACGCGGGGGTTTTCACGTTGGGCGAGGTACGTTTCGTCTTGCGCTTCTGCTCGGAGATGGGCACAGGCTGATTGGTGTGCGATGGTGATAGGTACTGAGCAACAACGCGACGTACGCCGCCTCGTACCTCGGCGCCGTCGACGGCGTATTCGACTACCCCGCGTGGTACTGTCTCACCGCCGCCTTCGCCAGCCCCAACGGCGACCTCGCCGCCCTCGCCGCCTCCCCCTCTCTCACCGCCCTCGCCTCCGCCTCCGCTTCCTCCTCCTCCGCCTCTTCCTCTGGGGCGAATGCACCGGTAACAGCGGCGTTCCTGGAGAACCACGACCAGCCGCGCTTCCCGTCGTTCACGACCGACGTGGCGCTGCAGCGGAACGCGATGGCGTGGGTGTTTGTGGGGGATGGGATTCCGGTGCTGTATTATGGGCAGGAGCAGGGGTATCAGGGCGGAGGGGATCCGTATAATCGGGAGGCGTGAGTGTTCTTGCTTTTTTCACATTCCCTTTGGCTTCGGCTTGCCGTGCTGCCGCGCTTCCTCTACCTCCCATCCCTCTCATTCTGCCCGTCCTCCCCGACTCTCACTTCCCCCTTTGCGCCGTCTTCCTCCCGCCGTTACGCTTTTCCTCCCCCCTCCGCAGACTGAAACCGATACTGACACATTCGTACAGACTCTGGCTGAGCGCATACGAGACAACCAAGCCGGGCGTCGCGCTCGTGAAGGCGCTGAATACCGCAAGGAGGCAGGCGATGGCGGCGAATGGGGGGTTTTTGACGACGCCGGTGGGTTTCGTCTTTCTTCCTTGGTCGTGCTTTGCTTTCGCGCGTGTGTCGGGGCTCGATGCTCCGTCCGGATACGTCGGCGCCGCGCCTTGTACTTTACCTCCCTTTCCTCCCCGTCTTTTGCTCCTCCCCCCCCCCCTCCCTCCCTTACCTGCTATCAGCTCATACCTTCCTTGCCACTTACGCTCACCTTCTTTCACCATACCCTCCGTTTCTCTGCGCCCTCTCGCACTTATCTTCCACTCTCCCCCCACGTACACTACCTGATGTCAATGCTCTTCGCCTTCCTCTCCGGCTGTTTTCCCTTTCCGATACGTTCCCACATACTTACCCCACATCTCCCCGGCCTCTCACGCCTCCGCCTCTCTTACCTTCCTCCCTCATTCCTTCCATCTCCGTCCGCCGCTTCCTCGCTTACCTTGATCTCCGTCGCATGCATCTGCCCCGCGCTCCGCCCCTTCCCTTCGCCCCTCTCTCTTGCTTACCTTCTTCCCATCTCCATCACTTACCCTACCTGATGCCGCACTTCCCCGTCGTTACCTCCCTCGCTCACCCTCCGTCCGCCCTTTCTCTTCTTTCTCTTCCTCCCTCCTCTCCCCTCGTGCGCATTCTTCATCCTTCACTACTATTCCCCGCATTATGCCCTTCGGACGCCGTCCATCCTCCTGCCGCTCCCACAATTTATCCCCTCACTCACCTTGCCACACATACATACTCTCTCTCGGCTGTATATCTGTTCTTCTCCGCGCCCTCCTGCACCGCTTTATCATTGCTGACATCCTCCCCAGGCAAAATACCTCCCCCAACCCGACCCACACACCCTCGCGCTTTCCAAACCCCCGCTCCTCTCGCTCCTTACGAACGTCGGCCTCCCCGCCAACGACAGCGTCCCCGCCACCTCCTGGCGCATCCCCGCGGGCGTCTACCCTTCCGGCACAATCCTCGTGGACGTGCTCGCGTGTCGGGCGTTCACCGTGGCCGGGGACGGGGATACGACGGTGCAGGCGGAGGAGGGGATGCCGCGCGTGCTGCTGCCGGTGGGGGCGCTGACGCGGGCGGGCGGGGCGTGTCCGGCGCTCGCTAGTGGGGCCACAAGGGGCGGAGGGCGGGATGGACGGGTGTCGCTGAGGAGGAAGGTGGTGCTGGGGGTGGTGGGGACGGTGGTGTGGTTGGGGGCCTTGGTGTAGGCGCGTGTGGGCGCGGTGTATCTGAAGCGGGTGTATTTTGATCTTGGTGTGTGTATGATTGTGAGCGGGTGTGGCAAGTACGGGACGACTTGGCATTGTATCTTAGAGTTGTATGGATTGTACGGATTTCAGATTGTATGGATTGTATAGATTGTACCACTTTGCATACCTCAGTATCATAAGACGTTTCCTCCGACCTTCTAACTACCGGATTCTGGGTTCTGTTTTTTTTTTATTGAGTCACACAGTGGACTGCAGCCTGCTGTTTGCCTTGTACCCAAGTGATCAACTGCGAAGGTGGAGAATAGAAGAAAATAAAGTCTCGGAATGTTTATCACATGGCGTTCTTTAGTCTACGCCGCATGGAGCCAAAGCAATTTGGGATGGATGTTGACAACTTGAAGGAGCAGCAGACCTATCTTTGACGAACCACAGACAACTTTTGACACTATGTAAAGAAAAAGTCTTCGCAGACGTTGGCACGTCGGCGTCCACAGCGGCTGATTCTGGAGCTCCGTGCTGCCCCGCGGCGAATCATTTTCAGCTCGCGTCGTCTCGCCCTTCTCAAGTCCCTGCGGATTCCTTTCGCCCTCACGACGTCACCAGCCAACGCCTCCGCAACCTCTTCCTCCAACCGCCGTTGATTGTCCTCCCAGTAGCACTCGCGAGCCCATTCAATCTCCCAGTAA